AGCATTTCTGGCATAGTAAAATTAGTTTTACATACTTCACCGAAGGGTAGATTATTATTATTTTTGCAGTGAATAAGTTTTTTGCAGCTGCCCAATCCGATAGTAGTTTGTAAGGTTGTAAATTGGGTACGCCGAGGACGTCTTTCGCAGATCAATACCGTATAACTATATAATCTCAAGGGCTTGATTGTCTTTGTATTGAGGTCCTAGACCTCTCCTCTGTTTCCTGTAGGATCTGTCGCCCGTCCATGCTAGCGGTAACCTGAGTAGAAATTAAGATACCTTGATGTACACATGTTCCCTGGTCCTTTAAAAAGGTTGTTAAAGGATGTGCGGACCATTGCCACTGCACAAAGTAGCGGTTATCATAACTAACTGGATTTAACAAATTTTTTTTTTTTATACAACAGAAACAATTTGGAATATCAATGAAATTATTTATTCCTCTGAAAGTACATTCGATGCCATTATGTATGGAACTTGATTTCTTTTGCGTGGTCACCACAGACACGCTCGCAGAAGTTCCGGCACTGAACTCAATTTGCGACGGTTTTTAAGCATAAATCGGCCGATACTACTGCAATTTCATGTTTGATATTCGTAGGAAGTTCATCAATCGTCGCTGGCTTGTTGGCATAGACCACAAACTTGACTTATCCCCACAAGATATAATCTAACGTCATCAGATGGCACGACCAAGGCTGAAAATGTCCTGGGCCATTTCGTGAGATAATATGTTCACCCAACTTGGTTTTCAATTAATAGATTGGCGATGTCCTGTTGGAACCATATATTGTACAAGTCCACATATTCTAATTCGGGCCAAAAACATCGGTTATCATTATGCATAGTAACGTGGCAGTCTTGATCATTACGGAAGAAGTACGGACCAGTGACGCCGCCGGCCCACTTACCATGCAATGGTGACTTATGGAGTACGTGCGGATCGCTGCCTCACCAAAAACCCATATTGTGCTTATTGACTATTCTGGTGTTCAAGCAGCTTCAGTTCTTGTGTCTATTTGATCTTGTAAGCGCTCTTAAAGTTTAAGCCACTGACTTCGAATTTCGGTAGTAAGTTTTAATAATTTAGACTCGCTGTTGGATCATATATCATAATGAAATGGCAAACCTTATTGAAGAGAAATGTCAAAAGAGCGGGAAAAAATATGGCGTCGTTTGCTTTCCCTATCGGTTTACTTTTGTAGCGTTCTTATTAAAAAACCCGTTATAAAGTATGGCTTTTACTTGGGTTCAATTTAAGAAAAAAAAAAAAAATGATAATGCCATAGTACAAAGACGTATAAAACTGGGTGTATGTATACTATACTTAATTTAATGTTTTTGGAACTTTCGTCTAACCTTATACTATATATGATATATACAGTGGGCGACAAAAGTCTATGTGTGGCGACCATTTCGGCTATCTGGCATGTCCAAAAGCAATCAGAAAAAAAGTAAAAAGGTAAAAAAGATGCAATTTTGTTTCAAATGTGATTTTATTAATGCGTTACAAAAATTAACTTGAATTAATAAAGACTTAACAAGTTAAATGAAAAAAAATTCAATGACAAAAGTCTACGTACGATTTGAAAATCAAAAGGAATTACTTTGGTACGGCACTAAAAGTTAAAATAAGTCGTCCTTTAATATTTTGTTGACCCTCCATTAGCATTTATAACTGCTTGCGAACGTCAGGGCATTGAAGCGACTAAATTTTCAATTTCAAGGGCCATCAATGGCGTTATTTGTTGCCATTTCTGTTGCAGCTTCTCTTTTAGTACTAGGGCACTAGTCCAAAAGCTCCCAAACGTGTTCAATTATCCAAGATACAAATCTCACCAAGGCATAGTTTATCAACGGATACTTTTAAGTTTTGTTTCAAAATAGATTGTATTTTGACTCATGTGTAAACAATACTCGTTTCCAGAAATCGATTCCCTCGTCTAAATACTTTTACGCGAATTCCAAACGAAGTTTGCGATTTTTTTCACTTATAGACGGTTTCTTACGCAGAGTTCTGCTGTGAAACCCATTATTATTCAAGGCCCTTTGAACTGTTCGTGAATGCACACTTGTATTCTGCCAACTTAGTGGCTTTCACTTTCGGATTTTGATCTGCTTCTTTCAAAAGGAACAATACATCTCTGCGACCCAGCGATCACTGCGCGGTTTATTTTCAAGACTATTCGTATTTTTGTAGTTAATGAATATTGTTTGAACTGTTGACTTTGTTAAATTTAATGAACTTGATATTTCACCAAACGATTTCTTTTCATTTCTATACTTTACTACTAAGTTTCGAAAATCAATTGATATTTCTTTACGGGAAGCCATTGTCACAGCCAAATAATACTAAGTTTGTTATAATGTTTGTAACACCCAAAAGGAAACGTCGGAGATAAAATATGTTTGGAAGTTTATAGTTTTATTTACAGATTATTTAGAAATACTTATAATTATTATTTTACAAGGTGAAATGTTGCCCGTGAATACGTCCGTTCGGTATCACGGTTTATAGAAAAGAGGGAAGAATGACAGTATTCTGGAAAACGGGTTGCTTACAACTAAAAGGAAAATACGTAGTACAGCGTTGCTAAAGGATATTGTAAAAGTAGCAAAGGCAGTGCCGGATTAGCCACGTAGCAAGAGTAGCAAATGCTACGGGCCACGCGCTCCAGCTGATCGTAATTTAAAAAAATATCAATTTAGATGGAGCGTAAAATATCTTTGCATGCTTTAAACGCGAAGGGCTTAGGATATGTTTCACTCAATACCTTCCACCTGAAAATCTAGAACTCGATTTCGTCACGTTAAATCGTAAAAATAAGTAGGCGTTTTACGAACTTCTTAACTTAAATGTTCTAATGTTTAATTATAAATATTATAATCGATATATTTAGACAGGTATCTATACTAGGTACATTTCTACCCTTCAAGCGTCCAGATTTGTATTTTTTTTAAATTATCATTATCGAATATCTCTAGATTTTGTATGCTTCAAAAAAAAAAGTATCATTATTAATTTTTACAATATTTTTATTGAAAATTATTGTTTAACGATATTCTTGTGACCTTCCATATTATAAAAAAAACATTATTTTATATCATAAAACACAGTAATTAAAATGTTCTATCTAGTTATTTCTTTTTCCAAGCGGGCGCTCTACCTATCGATGGGGTCGTCTTGCGAACGCACTTAAAGATCTTACTTCAAAAATCCGATTTTGAAACGGTTATCGGACAGTAGGTGGTTAGCCCGAGCTGATGTTTTTTTTTTTTTTTGTTTTGTGGTTTTATCACTATTAAGCAAGTATTGGAAGACATTTGCAATAAGGTGGATCAAAAAATGGAGTGTCGTAATAAAGCTTACGGACTACTTTCATCAATGACTAAGTTAGAAACGGGAATAATGACAATTACGTGAAACGAAGTCCTAGAACGCTTGCAAGCGACTAGTGCTTCACTGCAGTCGTCTGATCAAGACCTTAATAAAGGGATACACCTTTTATGAATCATTATATGGCTACGTCCAAGCAATGCAATCCACTTTTTCAGATATTGAGGCAAAATTCAAAGATCTGACCTACTGTGAAGAATACCAGCAACAGACATCACGACGAATCAAGCGAAATACAAAGTACGACAATTTCAGCGGCTCTACTACACTCGATGACTTTTTTGAAAATCAAACAACTGGACAACGTTTCGAATTCGAGGTGTTTATTGTCGTTATTGATAATGTAGTGTCTGTTTTAACTAAACATATGAAAGCATATCACAAAATTAGTAGAATTTTTGAAGCATTTCGACAGCTAAAATCTCTTACAACAGAAGAGATCCTGGAAAAATCCTCTAGTATGGTCAGTGCTTACGAAGATGATTTGGAGAACAGCTTATTAGGCGCCGAATTAGTGCAGTTAGCAGAGCTGCTGAAAACAGATGTGACTACTGTAATTGACAGCAAGAAACAGGAGCCTCTGGAACAGCCATATTATAAACTTTTTGAAATAATTCTTTAGAAACGTGTGTCCCAAACTTATAAATTGCTTTGCGAATTTACTTATTCCACACGATCACTAACTGCAGTGGCGAACGTTCTTTTTTCAACATTAAAACGTATTTAAAATGGATTAAGGAACACGACGGACAGAGAACGTCTTAATCATCTCACTTTGTTGAATATAGAGCATGACTTGCTTAAAGAAGTCAATATTGAAAGTATTATCTCTAAATTTGCCTATAGGAAATCCAGAAAAGTTTATTTGTAACAATTTTCTTTTATTTAGTACCCTAAACTTGAGAACCTATAACAAACCAAGGGCCCCTGACAGAATCCGGCACTGAGCAAAGGGTTGCTTATAATCGGCGAATACTGCGTTGCAACATACATAAAGCAGTAGCTGAGTGGATTTAGTCATATCCTTATATCCGTACTCCCGTTTATCTGTCTGAATGTACTCAAGGGACAAGCCTTTTTGAGATATCGCTCTGAAATTGTGCACCAATTCGTTTCTAGCCCTAAGAAGCTGCTCATTTGTTGCAACCACGAACATCGGACCACATATCGATTGAATTTTTATCCATATACTGAATACGTTAAATGTAATTCCCTTTTACAAGGTTAATTTCAATATAAATATCTCGTCAATAAGTAAAACGCAGTAATGAAACTAAGTAATCTTATGACTTATGGTAAAAGTTAATTAAGTGATTTGATTATAATTCTTAAACGGTTTCGTCGTGTATTGAATTTTTATCAACTTATAATGATGCAGCTTCACAAATCAGAGAAGCTATACGTTCAACACTTACACGAATATAATATCCTAAATAAATATTAACACAAAATATTTATAATTTTTTTTAAGTATTTATTTAATTATTATAATCACTTTTTGTAATGGCTTGCAATTTTTTTTCCTCTACTTCTAACATTTGCTGTTTTATGGAATTCTTAGCAGCTATCAAATTCTCCATAGCAATGTTGTGCCTTCTAATTTCTTCCACTTCCGCTTTTTTATCGCTTTTAAATCGTTTTGCTTATTCACTGCTCTGCCTAGTCGTCGCATACCTGAGGAACTATCGTCCAACTTATCGAGAACCTTTTCCTGAAACTCTTTTTGAATTGTAAGTTGTTGTTTTATTAAATCGGCTGTACATGTATCCGGTGACCTAGGAGTACGTCTAGGCAATGCTGGACTTCAGGTCACTGATGGCATTGATATATCGGCTGACATCGGTAAGCCCATGCTCATTGTATTTTTAATTCCACTTGTACTCATCCCTAATGCCGTTAGTGTTATCACCGCTTCCTGCAATTCGCTGAAATGGTGCTGCCTATATCTGCCGCCACCAGTAGCTGACTGCTTCTTTTTATTTTCCTTCCAGTCGAGCCATACCTAATAAAAAAATAAGTCAAACAAGCTTTAAGTTATCCTGTTACAACAATAAAATCTACAAATTCATTATATTACCTTCTTGCAGCTGGAAATATCCTTGATAGGCGGACCAACGCTGTTGAGTTCTTGGGCGATATTGTTCCAAAAAGCTGCCACGTTTTCTTAAGGGCACTTGGAAAAACCCTGCGCCATTTCAGGGTTTCGCTGTAACAGCTCAACCATTAGTGCATCTTGCTGCTTGGTGGTAATTACTTTGGACCTGCGGAAATCGAATTAAATATTATTTTACTGGTACCAAATATGTTATAGTTAGAATTCAATAAAAATTTACATTTTTCTTTTTTTTTTAATTATTTCTCCGCTAGCAAAAACTTATCGTAAAAAATTCCAATAAAATTCAAAATTTCCCTTTTCGAATGAATTCAGTCAATGCCACTCTACGAATTTCGAACTTACGTTCGGAATCGCTCGAATTGCATGATAGCAATTTCGTATCTTTCCCGAAATAACAGTCTACGATGGATTGCGTGATAGGGCTGAATATCTAGTGATTGCGGACCTGTGAAGCTATTTTTAATATATATTTCCATAACAATCCTGCACGTACAAGATAAGTTTTGTGTTTTGGGTCGTTATCCTGTGGTAAATAGAAATGGCTGCTATTAACAGCCGATTTAAGCACAATTGATATTTAAATTATTTTCTTAAAATTTTCAGAAACATTGTGTATATCCTTCCATGATATAATTGCAAACATTATTGAATTCAATAATAAAGAAAAGGAATAACGATCATGGTATATTAAAAATGGTCGAAGTGGCACTTAGAAATCATATCATATATATTGGAAAAGTCGGTAGATGTAGCCTTGCTATCGATTTCTTCTGGTATTTTATAACCAGCTTTCGTTTGAAACAAATTAACTCCACTACCCTGTCAAACCAGAGAGCATGGAATTCACCCCGTGAAATGTTAACATTGTTTTGAATTTAGCAGAAGGGAATCTGTAGAATTATAGCTTTGTTAAAATGATCAACCAGGGAATATTCTATTTATGACATGCGATTTCTAAATTTCGTATGAAACAAACATGGAATTGTGTTTTGCCGTCGGCATTTTCATATCAATGCGCCCTTCCCCCAGGGAATTATGTGGATAAGTAATACGTAATAAGTAATACGTTCAGATTTCTTTGACTTGGTTGGCACATTTGGCCCAAATAACAAATTTCGATAATTCCGAGGATATCAAAAAAGTTTTTGTTATTATATCTATCAAGTAAAAATTATTTCCATATTCCTTTTTTTTTTAAATTATAATTCTTCTTTACTGGTGTAGACACCGCTCACGCCATTATAGCCGAGTTAACAACGGCGCGCCAGTCGTATCTTCTTTTCGCTCCGTGACGCCAATTGAAGACTTCAAGCGAACCCTTCTCCACCCTGTCTTTCCAACGGATTGAGCGTTTTCAGAGCTGGAGTGTTTTCGTCCATTCGGACAACATGACCTAACCAGCATAGTCAGTGTTTTTTAGTTCGCTAAACTATATCAATATCGTCGTATATCTCATACAGCTCATCATTCTATCGAATGCGATATTCACCGTGGCTAACGCGCAAAGGACCATAAATCTTTCGCAGAATCTTTCTTTCGAACACTCGCAAAGTCGACTCAATAGTTGTTTTCATCGTCCAAGCCTTTGCACCATATAGCAGGACGGGAATATTGAGTCACTTATAGAGTTTGGTTTTTGTTCGTCGAGAGAGGACTATACTCCTCAACAAGAGATATCCAAGTTATTATTATGAATAGTTGAGTGGGACGATTGTTTGTTTGATGACATGAGATATTTCGTCTTGCCCTCGGCTGTTCTCATCGTTTCGGGGGCCGCTCCAAGCACTCATAGAAGACATCTTTAGTTACATCGTCCTTCTCTTCCGTCGTTGCCTGGGTGCAAGTCAGCGATATGTTGATGAACTTCTCTTTGCTGTTTATTATGGCTAGACGTTCATGCACCGGGGTGAATGACAGTTCTCAGCGACGAAGTCTCTATTCCACCACGAATCCCACACCAAATTTGCCCTCTTTTATATGGTCACTGTAGTAAATGCCTCAAGGACCTACTCGCCTCAGTCCTTGTCCCGTCCATCGCATTTCTTGGACGGCGGTGATGTAAGATTTCACTCTAACGAGGACTTCAACCAGCTGGGCAGCGGTACCTTCCCAATTAAGGGGCCGGACATTCCAGGTGCATATCCTCAAATCGTGGTCCTTAAGTCGTTTGTCATGGGCGTGATCAAAAGGGGGGTGCATTGTTGTAATAAATTAATTATCTATTAATAAGCAATATATTACAATAATATTTATTCGGAAAGTTATTATCTAAACATCAAATAAAATTATAAAATATATAGTTCAAATTGAATATACGTATATATTACTTTGCGTGCATTCATAAAAATTATCAAAATTATACTCATATTAATATATATGATTGCATATAAACCTATAAAAGTATAAGCCAAAAGGCCAAAAATTAAAGGAATTATGCAATAACTTTATCTATATACTTTTTGCACTTCTAAACTTTGTAACACCAAAATAAGCAAATATTTGCCTACACTTTTTCATATTATCAACTCCACATTTCAGCTAAAAATAAAATTTCTCCAATTTTTCTTTACAAAAAACTATCACGCATATGTGACATGACATTTTTATTTTCTATTTAACTTTTTCCATTTTCCTCGTTTCGTCGACGAATCTTTGTATTTAAACAGTCGTTTTTTTTAAAATGTTCTGCTAAATAGAAGCGAATATGTGAAAATATGGTGAATTCCTTGGTTAAATGTTTTCAGTTCTGTTAGCCGTCCAATCGAGCATCACACTAAATTCAATTTGCATCTTCTCTATGTGTTTATGTTCTCTTCTCAACTATGTCTAAAACATATGCGATCTTTCTATTATAAAAGTTTTCGGGTGTAAAATTTAAATCTTTTAAAATCAAATAATACATTTGTTATACTAGAATGTTATTACAATGCTGCATAAATTACGGTTTGCGTATATGTTTTTTTTTTCAGAGTAATTTTCCTTTTTTATGTCCTAGAAATCAATATATTATTGTATGAAAATTTGTATGGCTATATGTTTGTTTTTAGGTATAAAATGGAACCTTGGAATATAATAAAATTGTTTCCTGCTCAAATTGAATGAAACAATAATATATACGGAAGCCACATTTACATACCCTGTATATTTCTTAGAAATGGGGGGAGCTATGGGGAAAAACGGGGTCAACTTTTTGGATGCTCTACCTTCACAGGTAACGGTAAGCTTATAAATTGATATTCGTCTCGTGCTAAACTCTGACATTTCAGGGTACGTTACACATTGTTATGCTTGGTCTTGATTCAGCTGGGAAAACGACGGCTCTGTATAGATTGAAACTCGATCAATATTTAAATACAGTACCTACAATTGGATTCAATTGCGAAAAGGTAAATTATGATATTTTATTTTACGAAGTGGGTCATTACTTCGCTGTTATAAACGTTTCAGTAATTTTCTAAAATAATAAATACGATTTTGGCATTTCTACCGGCTTTTTTATTTTAGGGATTAATTGGAACCATCCGTGCTACTAGCGAAATGGTTATCTAATTTCCGCACATAGTATAAAGTAGCTTTGCTTTGATTCTTTAATAAATTTTTGTTGTATATTGTTAAGTAAAAAAGCTGAGCGTATACAAAATGCGTTCTATATTACAATGCTTGTTGTACAGCTAATAGTGTACTAAAAATTTAAATTCTCATAAAATATTTCAATAAAATTTAAAATTCGGAACTTAAAATGTGAGGTGCCCGTGCTCCAGGTCTAACTTTGGAATTTTGTTATATTACTGATTAGACTTCTGCACAAGTGCACTTGATATCACCGAAGCACCTAGTGTCCTATTGCAATAACATTGTTTCATATCATTTACAGCAAGGTAAGCAGTTAAATTCTATAACATCGAAGGCAAAATACCAAACTGTTCAAAACCAATATTTTCAGGGGTGTTGTGGAATCTGATAGTTGTCGGAATCAGAATTGAAACAGATCAAAAAAAGCTGTAGGTGTCATGAATTCAGACATTATTGGTATGATATTCGAATTTGCATCGGTTTTGGGTATCACGGAAACCAATTTTATCGGTTTTGCTGTCAGAAATAAATCAAGAAGATAGTCGCACACAGATTTGAAATGTAAGTTAAGAAATCAATTTATTTTATTGTTACGAATTGATGTATCTTTATTTCTATAGGACAAACCATAAGTATAAAACACGAAAAGTCTTAATTATTGAGTTTTGGAAGAAATGCGGATATTTAAGGGGAACCTGCTTTTTTTTTGGGAGGGATAGAAATAGTTGATTAAAGCGAAATGTCTAAGGTTTATAGTTATATAATTTAACATCACCCGAAAATTTTTTGGATACGAATTCTTTGATATTCTGCCTTAGGGAAGCAATTGCCCGATGCATCTCGCGGGTGCATTTATCAGACGGCGGGCAATATGCAGGACGCAATTTCTATGGGAAACAAAAAATTAAAAAAAAAATCATATTTATAAAAACGTATGTTCAAGTTTCAAAAAAAATCTAAAATTTCAAAAAATTTGAAAAAAGTGGTGTTTGATTAAAAAAAATGTTATGTCAAAGATAATAAACTTTGCCCCAATTTCATACGATGTTTAGTTTTTTTTTATCCTGCCCGCCAATTAAGAAAAATCGTAAAACTGAAAAACCGAGAAATCGCTCAAAGTTTTCGCTTTCTGCCCAAGCGCTCATATATGTATCTGATAAACGCTCGGTCACTATTTAACTTCTAGCTTCGACAATATTTCGAGTTCCCATCTATAACTTTGGGGTAATATTCTTAGATAATTTTTAAAGAAATTTAAGCAAAGAAGAATTAAATTTTTTAAACTTCTAAAGCAGGCTTTCCCCTTAAACAAGATTTACAAAACGTAATAAACGTAATTTAACACACAAATGCGTCTTTATTCATTCGATAAATGTTATCTCTTAAAATCTCCATTTAATGCGAAACTTATTAAAAACTTTAATATGATATACCAATTGTATGCATTTGCAAGTTTTGTCACATTAGTAAACAGCTGGTTCGAATATTGGTTTTGCGTATGTTCGAAAAGACGAAAATCCAATCAGATTCTGACACCATTTAAAATCAGAATTGGTTTGCAATTCTGACAGCTAAGCAGTTCTGTCTTGGATTCCACAACATCACTGTTTATAATAGTACAATCAAAATAAACTTACATATTTAAAATTTAATAAATAGTGCATCTTATATTATTTAGTATTTTTTAAATGTTATATGTGTAATAATACTGCAATGGCTTGGGCAAATTAAGTGCTGTGGTCCGGAGTAGCGGTAGAAAAAAACTGGGAGCCGTATTAGAGCGGAGCTAATTAAAATTTTAATGTGCTACAGTTCTTCTAAATACTTCTTGTTCATCTTAACTCAATTCATTTAGATAGTACTATAAACAATTTAAATTTATTTGAAGAGGAGGATTCATTTATGTTCTTACTCCTTATTATTTACTTATTACTACTTATTAATACATTAATTTGAATACTGTGACTGAATAACATAACTTTGTATTTTTATTTCATTTAAACACTGGCTGAACAAAATAAGTTTTTAATTTAGATTTTTTTGTTTCTAAATAAAATATTCAGGGGTGTCGCGGAATCTTATAGTTGTAGGAATCAGAATTGAAACCGATAAAAAAGTAGTAGGTGTCATGAATTCAGATATTATTGGTTCGATGTTTGAAACAGATTTTGTATCGGTTTTGCTATCAGAAACAAAGCAAGAAGATAGTCGCTGACAGACTAGGAATGTAAATATTAAGTTATATTTTTTTTACTAATATATATATGTGTAATGTTTAAATTGTTAAGTTTTTGGAAAAAAAATCCGGATATTTAAAAAAGAAATACAAAACGAAAAATCTTCCTTTAAATCGGACTCATTAAAAACTTTAATGGTACTACTTCCAAATGTATTCATTTGCAAGTTTTATCACATTAGTAAACAGCTGTTTCTAATATTGGTTTTGCGTATGTTCGAAAAGCCGAAAATCCAAACAGATTCTGTGACACCATTAAAAATCTGAATCGGTTTGCAATTCTGACAGCTAAGAAATTCTGGGAGTAGCGTAGCTTTTCAAACGCTGGTTTTGGGTTCAAAGAGGAATTTTTTCTAGGCATTGTTGTTTCAAAACAATACAACTATTTACGTGTCTTTTTTGATGCACGTGGTATAATATTAATCGACTGAACCATTACACTGCGTATTTGGTTGCAGTTCCATTTTTCCATTCCCAATATTTAGCAATTGTATAATAATTAAGGAAGGATCAGTTTGAAATTGTACACATATACTTCATCGTTTCCGTTTTGTACTGCGCTTTGCAATGCTTCAAAAATATTTCTGTATATCTGAGTTTATTATAAATCTTTTTATCAACATTGCAGTTATTCCGCTATGAATGTATTTGCGTCCTTCGTCCATAATGGAGCTAGTTAGCAGCAGTGCCTTGTTCGTCCTAAAAAAAACTGCCTGATTCAGGAACAAAAATCACAATAATCCATACAAGTATGCATGCATTCAAAGATTAGTGTGCTCCTTCACTAGCTCTGTGTTGTTATTTTTAGCTTACTCCTTTTATTTGAAGTATTACAAGTTTCAAATGATTCTTACATACATTTTGAACACATGCTTCTGATTTGAAATATAATTTTTATATATATGAATTGTAGTGACTTTTAACATAAAGAGATGAAAAGTATTCTTTGTCCGTAACCTATCTCTTGGCAACCTCCCCACCAATTTTTAGCCAAATTGGTTCAGCCGATCTTGAGTTACATGGTTTATCCGGATGCAGCGCTGCCACCTGGAATTCCCAGCACGTCACGGAAGGCATTCTCCCAAATAGCCTTGAGAGACGAGGTGCATGCTGCTTGGATCCCCTCTGTCGTCTCAAAATGCTTGCCTTTCATCGGCTTTTCAGAGAAGGAAACAAAAAAAGTTCTGGCCCACATCTGGACTGTAAGGTGACTGCGAATGCGTTAGAATGCTGGCCTTGGTTAGGTAGCTGTTCACAAAAAAGGTGGTGTGACCCGCGAAGTTGTCGAGGTGAAACTTTCAATCGGTTGCGATGATTTGTCGGACCCGATTGACCCTTCGCTTGGGTCTCTTGAGAACTTCTGCGTAAAACTTGGCGTTTACGTAATAAACGAAGCCTTTGATGTCAAAAAAGACAATGAGCGTTTTCACTTTGGATTTGCTCACTCATCAGCGAACTCTTCCCGGCCCTCCAATAAGGCATGGTGCCTCCCAAAACACACCATTTCTCTTTAAAGCAACATCTGGGTAAGTCTGCTTGATCATATCAAATGTCTCTGTCGCAGATTAACCAAGTTTCAAACAGAATTTAGTCGCGTAAATGTGTTCTAATAGACGCTGTATTTTCGGCCTGCACCACTCCCAGAAACACGTCGGAAGGAAAATGTTTGTAATGACTCTCCAGGTCCTCGGAGACAACTGACCAGCCACTCGTTACGAAGTACTGTCGCGGTGCAAAACAATTAGTCCTATTACTTTCCGGACAAACCCTGTATAAATAGTGTAACTAACACGACTTCTTTTTATTTTTTATTTTTCTTTTCTCCGATAATAAACGCGTCCAATCTCTGCTAAATTCGAAGTGCTATAGGGAGAACCGCGGTTTCCGACGCGCTATTTAACGCAACGCTACGACCCGCAATTTTTCAATCTTTAATATTTTCGAAAATATTTATTTATTCATGTGCTGTAAAGAGTCAGGTACCAGGGTATTAATGCTGTGTTGGTTAAAATTGTTTCTAAAGTTAGCCCCTATTTGTCGTAAACAGTAAAGCACAAAAAATTTTATTTTGGGATAATCATAAGAGATAGACATATGTATACCATCGCGGAATTTTTTGTAAACCTTTTGAATGTGTTCAACACTTAGTATATTATTTTGATACAAAATCCGTTGCGTAGTTTTAAAGATTCAAGCATACATAGTGATATAGGGACAGAGAAAGCGAATTTGTTTTATATTATGTAATGATGCATTCATTGGGGAGCACACATGTATTTAGAAGATTCGTTCCAAAGTGAACAGTACTTTTTGAATCTAGTACCGTGGCGCCATGGTGGCGCCATCTGGTGAATATGCGAAAAATTTCAATTGATGAAACAAGCTTGCCTATCCCGTAGTAGAGTGCACGAGTGGTTTCAACGTTTTCAAAGTGGGCTTGAAGACATAAATAACGATCAACATGTGTGCCAATAAAAATCCGTGATCACCAGAAATTCCATCGAAACTGTTGAATTCATCAAAACTCAGCCGAAATCATCATTGAAATTCATCGAAATGGAATTGAACATCTCTAAA